CAGCGGAGGCAACTTCCGTAGCAGAAACTGCTGGAGTGAAACCCGGAGGGGTTGAGGGTCTCAGGGGGCCATTCTCCATCACTCCTGAACATACACACATGCACACACACACACACACATTATACAGACACACACACATCTGCTGACACACCTGATGCAACACCTACAGCAGCTGCTGGCCTAGTAACTGATGCACCAGGGGTCGAGGGTCTCAGGGGGGCATTCTCCATCACTCCTGAACATACACACATGCACACACACACACAGACACACCATACACACACACACACACACACACACACATCTGCTGACGCACCTGATGCAACACCTACAGCAGCTGCTGCAATAGTAACTGATGGATGCACCTGACGTAGTTGCTGCATTTGCTGCACACAAATACATAATCACACACGCGCACACACACACACACACACACACACACACACACACACATCTGCTGACACAGCTGATGCAGCATCTACAGCGGTTGCAGTAACTGATGCAGCGGATGTAGCTGCTGTATTTGGTCCACACAAACACATAATCACACACACACACACACGCATGCACACACACACACACACACACACACACACACGCACTCACACACACACATGCACACACACATAAACACAACCATTGCTGCCCACTATGCCCCCCCCTGAGGATGGAATGGCCGAAATGGCCCTGGTACCAGCCACACGAGGACGCACACACACAAACGCACACACACAGACACACACACATAAACACACCCGTTGCTGCCCACTATGTCCCCCCCCCCCAGGTCCATTGTGTTCGTCAGTACATGGGTCATTTTACTGACTATTTTGCGGAGACACGGCCATTAACACGACGCGTCTTTTGGAGCTCAACCTACTGAGTCGAAAAGGCTTTTGGTCCCAGACAGAGAGGCTTGGAAGAACTGGTGGTTTAAGAATATAGGCATGAGGGTCAAGGGTACTTCTTACCACTGCTCTGGGAAAGAGGTGGCCAGCATGCCATCTGGGAGTAATCGCCACTTTCCACAGCTGTCGCACTGTATCCATCGCTCTGTAGCATCACCGCGAAAATCCTCCACCTGCCAGAAAGAAATGTGACTCTCTCTCACTCACCCCCACCCCCCAAGCCAGCACAACCACCCTCCCCTCCCACGGGGAAAAAAGAAACGTTTTTCCCAAAAAGTTGGAAAGACACTCCAGTAATCAGAAACATCTCCATCTAGCACAGCATCAAATCTCACATTCCCTGCCACATCGTTACCACCAAATGGTATGCATGCCATATATCAAGCATTGTGTGAAATTAATTTCCAAACATCATAATTTCCAACACAACCAAAATGGTATCTAAGGATCACAACCAGAAAGGACAAAAGAAAACGCTTTCAGAATCACTTTCCATCAGTGCTGCACTGCCAAAAGTCGCTGGTAGGTGCAGAGACCCATATCTTTGTCAACCCATAAGCGCCTATCTGGAGGCATCCACAGGTTCTCTGCAAGAGCAGCTGCTGTCAACGCAAGTCCAGGACCGGCCCAGCACCAATTCGAGTGCAGCACTGGCCCTGTGGTGTGGGAACAAGGAAGGCACACCTTTCATTGTCATCATCATAATTATCATCACCACTACAATCATCATCATCATCATCACGAAGAAAAACGAGATGCCATTTTTCTGTTTCTGTCCCTTGTAAGGACCTGCCAAACACGGACTGAGACAAACAGCTGATTTCTGAGTTGCCAATGGAATGTATGCCTTGCTGATTTTCCCACTTGTTGCTGAGTTTTCTAAGTCTGTGTGTGTGTGTGTTTGCTGGTCTGCGTGCCTGTCTGAGTGCTTGTCGGTTTGAGTGTGTGTGTGACCCACAAGGGTACTCGTCTGTGCGGGAGGTCCGAAGGGCCGGTACTTGCCTCTGGCCGAAGTGGGGGGGAAAGAGGCCTGCGACACTTAGAGCAGCGGAAAAACACTCAAGTGGCAGGTAGGCCGGTACCACACCACGTAGAGGTAGATGTGTCGAGTACTCGATGATGAGCAGAAGATGACGAAGTTGGCATTTTTAGAGGCCCAGTAGTTGTAGGCTAGGTCTTGGCAGGTACCAGTCCAAGTAGTCTGAGTTAGGGCCTGTACGGGCAATAACAGAGTCTGCAATGATGTTTCCCTCCGAAAGGGAGGAGGTACCGGTTGCTTGGAGGCCGAGCGGCCTGGAAGTCACCGCCCAAGAGGCAAGCAGGCCGCTGTATCTCCTCGAGGAGCAAAGAGCTCCTCCACATTCTATGGTGTGCAAGTTTGGTGACACACTGGTTGGAGCGCTGGACTCAGCAGCGCTGCTGGGGGAAGGACCGCCCAGCTCCCTCCACCATGGCTATGGTGGTGGAGCTCGCGCTGGAGGAGGAGGCAGGTGAGGACTAGGAAGGGGAGAACACCAGAGGTATTTACCTGACTCTGGTGGATGCCATCTTCATCATCTTGGTGGGCGCTGCATCTGGAAGGCCCCCGTTGGGGTAGAGCTACATCAAGAAGCTTCGAGGCAGAGTCGTGCATGGCGGCCTGAGCCAGAGCAGCCATAGCTGCTTTGAGTTGTCTTTTGCACAGCAGGGCAAGGCCCTAGCAGTCCGCCATAGCCTCGGACTTCGGAGGAGGAAGGAGAAGGGTGGCCATGGCTATGGCGGACCTCATGTTGTGCCTGCAGTAGAGGAGGGATTCGGACATTGATTCTGGTTCACCCATTCAAAATTATTATTATTATTATTTATTGTGAACAAGTAAACCCGCCGCGGCTATGCTGCGGCAAGGGAAAGGGGGGTAATTGAAGATGGGAATCTCTTACCCGAAAGTGAATCAAGACAGCAGCAGAGTAGGTGGGAGGGCCGATGCGAAGCCACTGCCCAGCGCCAGCCCCACCCCACGCACAGCCATTATCTGGCCTGGGTGACATTGAGGGTGTTTGTTTTAGAACATGAGGGACGCGCAGCATTCGGGGGGGGATAAATAAGAATTATTTTATTGTGGTCGCTGCTAGATTCAAGCTCACGTGTGCAATTCAACTGAGCAGCCTGCCAATGTGCAAAATGAGAAGGATCCTTCCCCACAAACATAGGAGATGCACCGCAAAGGACAGATATATTGAAAAGAAATCCCGGTGTGAGTATGGACTAACGAGCTGTCAAATCCAAATGTCGTTGCGCGCGCGCGCACGAGAGAGAGAGAGAGAGAGAGAGAGAGAGAGAGAGAGAGAGAGAGAGAGAGAGAGAGAGA